ACACACACACACACACACACACACACACACACTTAATACAGAATACATCATTAGTCAAGACGTGAACCACTTCTTTACCTCACCATCTACAGGATGATGAAAGTGGACACAGTGCTGTCCGACTTCACCTTCCACCTGTTTGTCCAGACCGACCTGACCACGCGGGAGATAGAGAGCTACTTCCAGGGAACACTGTCCGAGGACTTGCTGGCCAGTGTATGGCAACGCAACGGACACCTCCATGGCGACGAACGGATCAGGTGAGAGACAGTAAACGACGGTCGCATCTATAGTAACAATGTATTACTAATGGAGGTATCCATAGAAACCGTGGGATAATAACTGTCATAGATGTCTATGGCAACGATAAGATTAGGAGACGAGATAGTGAGTAATAGCCATATTACATCCATGGAGGCAGGTGATATACAAATTTCAACATAAGTTAAGGACCACCTTGAAAGACAAACCTGATTGTTAAACAATCCGAACAAAAGACAGCAGCGAATATTTCAAAATTGTTTGCTCAGAAAATGTTAATGGGTTACCAATGCGTACTGCAAAGCTTTCAAAATTAGCATAACTACCACGTGCAGCACGGAAATCCTCGGGGAATTTTAGTCAGATTTGCTGTTTTTTATCGACTTGTGTGCGACACGACAGTCATTCCTCAGTTAAAATTTCTGATGCACGTCATAAACGGACGTTTGGTCTCGAACTGTGCTCACGTTGGTGACAATAAAAGCCGGCGTTTGCGCAAAATCCGCTACCGCATCAGCGTGCCACCAAGACGAAAGCTGAGAGACTCTGGTCGTGCCAGAGCTATGGCATGGCCGGAGGATGGAGTTGGAGCCCGAGAAGTTACCAGAAGGTTTGCAGTGTCATACTCTGTCATTGTCATTCCGCCTGAGGCAGAGCCATCACGCCACTGGATCAGTCCAAGAACGCCCACATGCAGGTCGACCCAAGAAGACTACTAAGAGTGTTTGCATGTGGTCCTTAACTTATGTTGAAGTCTGTATATTATAACACACGCATCTATAGAAACAGTGGGATAATAACGGTCATCTCCATGGCAACGATAAGTAAAGGCGAGATAATATAGTGAAGAACAGCCGTATCCATAAAATAGGTGACATAATAATAACAATAATGGATTGCATTTATATAGCGCATATCCACGTGTGCAATGCTCTATGCGCTCAACATAATATTATATATTATTGATTTTCAAATCAATTTTAAAGGCACATAATAACTCACGCATCAATAGAAACAGTGTGATGATAATGGTAATCTTCTTGCAACGGTAAGATTAGGCGAGGTATAGTGAATAACGGCGGTATCTATTAAAATAGGTGACATAATAACACACGCTTTAATAGAAAAAGTGTGATAACAATAGCCGTATCCATGTTGTTGTTGTTGTTGTTTTCAAATCCCTTTAGCTGCGAGCATTTCGCTCTTGGCAGCGCAAAGCCGTATCCATAAAAACTTAGGAAAATGGCGGTACCCTTAGAAACAGTGATAAAAACGGCCGTATCCTTAGAAACAGTCTGATAATATCAGACGTCTCCTTAGAAACAATGTGATATGATAACTATGGACATTCTAATAGAAACAGTGTGATAATAACATACATCTCCATGGCAACGATAAGATCATGTGAGAGATATCAAGTAAACGGGCATATATCTTGGTCTAGGGCATCAAGATTAAAATAGGTGAGTAGAGATACTAAATAAATAGCAGATAGATAGATAGATAGATAGATAGATAGATAGATAGATAGATAGATAGATAGATAGATAGATAGATAGATAGATAGATAGATAGATATGTAACTGTTTTGACCTTTTTGTGTTACAAGTGGCGTAAAGGTCATAATACATTTCGTTTATGTGTTATTTACTGATTATACCGATACCATCAGACGAGGTATGCTGTATAACGGGTAGTTATATATAGTGTAAAGCGCATAAAGCCTGCTGTTGAGCGGGGATATGCGCTATACAAATGCTATTTATTATTTATTATTATTATATCTCCATGGTAACTATTATTAATTGTTATTTTACCGTCTTTCCAATGACGTAATTCTTTGGCTTGCCCCCCCCCCCTTTTTTTCCCTCTTTCAATGATGGTCTATACATAGACTGAATGTGTCAGTTGCTATCCTTTGTCTCTATGTTATATGTGTAATTTTCAGTGTCCCCTACGAACCACAGGAAATCGTGATGAACGAGGAAGACAGGTTCCTGAACAGCCTTCGAACTGTTTCCTCTTCCAGTCTGGTCGATTCTTTTTCCTTGAACTCTGACCCTAAGCCCACGGACGACTACTCCGAGAATACGCCTAGGCCTAAAGGCCTGTCCTAGTCCTAGAGGAGGATGTGGGACATGATCTTTTGGGAAGGGGACTCATTTACTTAATCAAAAGAGGGGGCTGTCAGATCAAATTTAGATGGAAGGCAAAGAGGTTATATATTATATAGAGCTCGCAGCAGTGACGCCATACGTGAGAGAGACATGGGGGTCTTCTTTTCCTCGTCGGCATGGCCGTTGCAACCCCATTTAGATGAACAACCTGAGCCCCCACCCCGCTCTTCACGAGCTCTAGTAGGCTAAATTATAAACACCACTCTGCCCCCATATTTCAGTGTAAGTACAAGTTTGTAGATTTCTCCCTAAGACCGCGGAGACGCCTCCGTGTGATTTGCGTCATCCGTCTGTTGAACTGCGCATGTCTTGCTTTCCCGCCTTGAGGTTCAGCGTCCCAGAGCGGGCACAGACAACCCCCGTTCGTTTAACATGCGGATAACTTTAGAACGATAGATGTACGCCATTGGCCGATATTTATGGTAACAGCTGACGTCATAGAGGGATTCCCACTTTGCTGTCTTTCACGTTGGCAACACGACCGCAAAGCAGTATTTTTAAAGCCTGTAGCTTACGGCGGCGTGGTGGCGGAGTGGTTAGTGCGCTTGTCTCCAGAGCAGAAAGTCCAGGTTCGAGCTTCGGTTCGGCCCCGGATTTTTTTTTCGCCCCCTCCTGCCCACCCACTTGTAATGGGTACCTGACTTTAAAAATACTGCAATAGGCCTAGTGCTTTACGGCCGTGTTGCCACCGTGAACGACAACAGTGGGAATTCCTTTATGACGTCAGCTGTTACTATAAATATCGGCCAATGGCGTACATCTGTCGTTCTGAAGTTATCCGCATGTGTTCGTTTAAGTGGAGGACATCACTGCCACGAACTCTAGTACTAAATACATTATAGTCTAACCTCTTTGATGGAAGGAATTAATGTCGTTTTTGTGGTAGTAGTAGATCTAGTGGGGAAAGGGAGTTGACGATTTTGTAAGGCTATATAAGAGTGAGGTGAGGAAATTTCCATATTTTTAAGAAAGAGAGGGAGATATAATAATATGTCATGTTTTTATACAAAAATGGGAGGAGAGGGAGACGTTTGGGGGTTTTTTTAATGAGGGAAAAAAACGGGAGTGGGGGTGGGGATGTGGTTGTCGTTTTTATAGAGAAGTGGAGAGAGATTTCGATTGTTCTTGTTAGGTGTTGTTGTTTTGGGTTTTTTTTAAGGAGATGTGGAGATTGAGAGAGATCGTTTTTATATATATATATGAGAAGGGAAGGGAAAGGAAATGTCGTTTAAAAAAAAAAAATAGGATCAGAGGAGGGGAATGTCGTTTATGTTGTCTTCATTTATTGGAAGGACGGGAGATCATTTTTAAGAAAATATATAGAAGTGTGAGAAAGTGGTGCCATTGTTCATAGCTGTGAGGGGCGGGGAGATGTCATTTTTATCGAGTTTTAGCGCTTTCGCGGACAGAAGATATAGTTGAATACATTTTTGAGTGCATGTATTTTCATTCTTTAGTTAGGGGGCTATGTCTCTGGAGGTTCATGATTTGCAAGTGCAAGTTTGTATAATAAATAATATAAATGATTAATGTTAACATTTAAATTATGTGTGAGTGAATGCGAGCATTAATGAGAGAGAGAGAGAGAGAGAGAGAGAGAGAGAGAGGAGGCAGAGGGAGAGAGAGGAGGCAGAGGGAGAGAAAGAGAGAGACAGGGCAGAGAGAGAGAGAAACACAGAGAGAGAGAGAGAGAGAGAGAGAGAGAGAGAGAGAGAGAGAGACAGACAGACAGACAGACAGACAGACAGACAGACAGACAGACAGACAGACAGATAGACAGACAGAGACAGACAGAGACAGACAGACAGACAGAGAGAGTGTGTGAGAAAGAGAAAGAGAGAAAGATAGCAGGATGAGTGTTTGGGTATTTTTACATGTAATTTTTTGTAAATAGTTTTAATAATTTTACTTCTTTTAATGAATGGGGTTATAAAAGTCATGACTGTATACCTACACTACAGGTGCTTTCAAGCTATGATGCATTCATGTTCATGTATATTATTATTATTTATTTTTGTCAGAAATGTCAGCGGACATGTATGTATTTTTATAGTACTGTTGGTGTACGTGTAAATATCGTGATTAAATCTTGTTCCTCTTCACCAAAGTTCAACTTGGACAAGCTTGACTGAAGTTTCGTTGATTTTCATTTATCGTCTCTCGTCGCCATGATTCATATATTTATATATATAATATAATGAGTGTGTGTGTGTGTGTGTGTGTGTGTGTGTGTGTGTGTGTGTGTGTGTGTGTGTGTGTGTGTGTGTGAGAGAGAGAGAGAGTGTGTGTGTGTGCATGCGTGCTGGGGAATTCTTCTCATTTCCAAAGGCCTTCATTTATCACTTGGTACTCAGAATTGTTTTCCTTGTTTTCGGGTACAATGTACTATTTTGTGACTTTTTGGGGGCGGGGGTGGGGGTGGGGGGCAAAAATGTGCTGTCTTTGGGCTTTTTATCGAGGTCTAATCGGTTGTCTCTTTTAATTTTAAACTAAAATGTCTACATACACAAAAGTTATAACTGATAAAAGAAATTTATATTAATTAGTAGGCTAATCATTTCATGGCACTGACGATATTCTTTCCTATTTAAGGAGATTGTTACATGTTCTATGGCGGAGAACTACAAGAATCATAAGAGAATATAGCCTATATATGAGGAAAAAATATTTTTTTATACAACAATTTTCTTAAAAGACCAGCGTTGTGCTACATTGTGTAATAGGCAACTCGATAAATAATCAATTAAGGGGGTCAGAAAAATTAAGGGTCTTGGTCTAAACACCTCGAGTGGCTTGATGATGTGTTGAGGAAAAACAGAAGGACTTCGCGTGATTTTATTACATCATGCTCTACATGTACATGTACTAGTTACTTCCAAGTTTTGGGCAATTTTTAAAGGTCACGCTGTCATTTCATTCAAATTCTCTGCTGTGTAGTAGTGGTCTCCCTTGACGTATGTCGTCATTCGTCATGTGAATACACAATACCATAAATTACGGTCTTTCGTTCATACGAAACTAAGAATAGTAAGAACTCAATTTTAGCCAAATTCTGTGACTTAGACGCTTTGAAATGACCCCTTTAAAGACATATATTCTGATCAGCAAAGCTCATCGCTGCCAATACCCTAAAGGCACACATGATAATTATATTAAATTGCAATTGGGCCTCGATACTCTACTGCACGCTGTTTGCGCTTTACAACTATCACTATCATTAAAATGAGTTACTTCTCGCAATCTACAAACGGAGATATTGGCCAAAAATCGACACTTGGGTCAAATTTGTAGATTTTCTATTATGCCATATTATTGTTCTTTAACTCTGACCTCCCATTTATTGTCTCATACTTATAAATTGTTGAACCTTTACCTATAAATAAGTATAAGCATGGCGTATAGCGCCCCACAAAGGGGGGGGGGGTTGGGTGGTACACAGACACACTGTGATACACACCTACAATCTGAAAGGACCAATTAGCTTGCATCAAGTAGAAGAATTGTCAGTTAGGATTGCAGGTGTGTGGTCAGCTTAGGCCTACCCTATACCGCACCTTGACAAATCTGTCTACTTTAGACAGACCAAATCCTATGTTTTAGTTTTAGGGAGTAGTGAACAATGGAGTAATACTAGTAATACGAACCCTACCGCACTACATTTACTTAGACACAACATTTTAGTCGTGAAAAAAACATGAAATAAAAGAAGTAAAAAACAAACACTAGCCAAATATAATATCAAAACAAGGTCCTTGTTGGTGCTGTAACTGTCATTTCTGAGTCAAAAGCGCCGTAAAACATCTACTATGCCATGCCAAAGTTCACGCACTTTAAACGTAATAGAATATTCAACCAACGTCCAATAGTGGCTATCTGACCTATAAATCGCTCTTTGAGATAACCCAAGCGATGACGACACTCGTAGCGAGTTAGGCGTACATTAATATTAACAAGGCGGCACATCCCAAATGTGCACTCACGAAACATAGCCCACAGTAGGAAATCTAAAAATATACGCGATAGCCTGTACACCATTCAATGCCAAAATCATGTGATCCCCGGAGCAATCCAGTGGAGTGCTCAAGTGAATTGTGATTGGTTCATTGTCTTGCCTCTATTTTAAGCGACCAGGTGACTGTGACCTGAGGGAGGTGGACTTGACATACTTTAGTCACCGCCCTATGAGTTGTGCCTGTGAATGGTTTTATAGTGAAGTGGGGAAAGTTATTATTAGACTCGAGTGTTCAGTTCCAATGCAGGATAACGAACTTGATGTTTAGCTAACAAACAGATTTAGTTCTAGAAATCAGAGCGACCAGTAAAAAGAATGAAAATAAAAGCATATTATAAGGTACTCCTTCACCAACCCAGAGATCCTACCATCCCATTTACTATGCCCTTGACTATATTCAACCTGCTGTTTCTTAATTGTGCACGCCCACTTTTTAGCCCCACGAGCCGCCCCTGCTGGAAGTGTCATCTCTGCTGACTCAGAGGTTGACGTGTAATGACCCTCCATCCTCCACGGTCGCAAGTTACTGTTGGACATTCTGCTATAAGTATAATAATAATAGCCAGTCCATGTTTAAATGTTGTCCATCCATGCATGTTAATCTCTGACTACCTCTGGCTCTCCAGCCCCACATCCTTCCTTCAAGCACTTCTTTCCCAATGATCAGTCCTCAACACTTATGTTGAAGTCTGTGTGTGTGTGTATAATATATATATATATATATATATTATATATATAATTTATGTATGTGTGAGGCATCATGGTGATACATGTATTAGGCACTCGTCAAAATTATGAAATCAAATGAACAAGCTTTAAGATGATACATGTACCAATAAATTCATAAGCCCAAAAATTGACGAGCGCCTGATTCCACCGCATCATGACACACACACACA